TGGATTGGTTATGAGGTTAGGGTAGGGATGGGCTGAGGTGGTTTTTGTAGGTGAATCAGTAGAATTGGAAACCCTAGGTGGCTTTGGAGGTGAATCAGTAGAATTGGAAACCCTAGGTGGCTTTGGAGGTACATATGGGGAGTGATTTTGAATGTTGGACAGGACTCTAGATCGAGCTAATATGGGTGTGAGAGGAATGTTCTTCATAGCCGATTTTATTAGGCCCGCAGAGTGTTCAGGTAGGTCTAACAGTGAAGGCGGGGATGGAAAACAGAGGGAAGTGTCCCCATTCTCTCTTGATGGAGTGGACGTGGTAGGGGGGACCCAAGACAGGTCCATGGGAGGTGACGAGGGAGCCTTTGGTGGAGAGGCAGGTGGTTGAGAAAACCCCAGCATAGGCCTGTCTGCTTTAAATTGGGGGGCGGATGGGGACTTCAGAGGAGCTGTAGGTGTAGAAGGTTGATGAGGGTGCTGGTGGTGCTGTTGGTGCTGCTACTGGTGATAATGCAGTTGCTGCTGGTGAAGGTGGGGATGTTGAAATCATTCGAGGCGGTGGTGGTGGTGGTGGTGGTGGTGCAGAGACCTTTGGAGCCGGTGGAGATGTTTGTGTTGTTGCCGGAAAAGCACTTTGCGTATTTCTTCCTTTCGATGGCTGCACGCGCTGCGCAGGCTGAGGCCTCAGGGCAAAAGAAAGGTTATCCATCAACACTTTTACTCCGTAAGTGTTCAAATGTGGACCTTTCCCTTCAAAAAGCTCATGCCTTTTCCAGAACAGATTAAAATTTCTCAATGAAGGCACCACAGCCTGGACCTGTACTTCCTCAAGCCAGCTGGAACAGAGAACTGGATTCTGATAATGATTGCCACCCGATAAAGTTCAAGTCCAAAATGACACCAGGGCACCGGCTTCATGCAGGTACAAATTACAGCCCATTGGATTTATTTTCACTTTTTGTGGACAAAGGTGCAATGGCCAGTCTTTGCACTAATACCAACAAACAGGCTGCAAAAAACATTGCTAGGGGAAAGAAATACATTTGGACGACACTGCAAGAAACTGAGCTATTCAAATTTATTGGACTGATTTTTTATTTTTCATTGCTAAAGCTCTCTTGTGTTGCAGACTACTGGAAACAACATTCTATTTTCAGTACACCTTTTCCGCCAAAAGTAATGGCCAGGGATCGGTTCCGGATCATCTCATGGAACATACATATGAGTGACCCAGACCAGGATGTTGTCAATGACCAAACAAAGGGAAGCCATCAGTTTGATAAACTTTTCAGACCGAAGCCACTTTTGGACTCAATCCTAACCGCCTGTAAAGCCCACTATAATCCAAGGCAAAACATTTCCATTGATGAGAGAATGGTGGCAACAAAGGCCCACACAGGGATGACCCAGTACATGAAGGCTACACTGTGGACTTTGTAATCTACACAGGGAAGTCCCAGTTTTCCTCTGGTGTGGGGCTTGCCTACGATTCTGTTATGTCCCTTATAAAGCCCTCATTCCTGGGTAGTGGTTACCACTTGTATGTTGACAATTTCTACACGAGCCCAAAACTTTTCATGGACCTCTTTAGTATGGGCATTGGTGCTTGTGGAACATACAGGGAAAATAGGAGAGGATGTACCCGCACCCAAAGTAATGCCCTGGGTAAAAAAGACAAAGGGGGCACAATAAGGTGGATCAGGGAGGGCCCATTGGTGTTTGTGAAGTGGATGGACTCGCGTGAAGTCTCCATCTGCTCCACCATCCATCCTGCTTACACAGGTAAAACAGTGAGAGGGCGCTTCAAAGAAACCGTCGACAACTGGGTCACCAAAGACATTCCCTGCCCACAGCCAATCATGCATTAAAATAAGCACTTGGGAGGGGTTGATCTGTCAGATCAACGAATTCAATATTACAGTGTTTACCATACCACCAAACGCTGGTACCGGACCCTATTTTTCCACTTCATGGACATTGCAGCCACAAACGCTTACCTTTTGCACAAAGAGTTGAGCCAAGAAAAAGGGGACAAGCCAATGACACTCCGAGGCTTTTTAGAGGAGCTGACTGCCCAGCTCTGTGGTGTGTCAGTGATGGTCCCTCCTGTAAAAGCCCCCGCACAACACTTGCCCGTGGCAATATTTGAACAGGAAGACCTGAAGAAGCGGGCATCACACGGGAGGAGAAGCTGTGCTCACTGCAGAGAGACTCGCCACAAAAAACAAGCTACCCCTTGGAAGTGCCTAGCCTGTGATGTGGCTCTCTGCCTCATAGCAGACAGAAACTGCTTCCAGGAATGGCATCAGGAGTAAAATTCTAGGAAGGCTTTTTGTAAATTTGTATTATAGTTATGGTTATACAATAAGTTGTTTGTTTGCCTTTCAGTGTGTTGTTTTTCAATAAATGTTTGTAAAATGTATTTCTTCATGATTCCATAACTTTCTTTACATTCATATGACACCATTACAGTATAGGCAAAGGAAGGTTTCTCACCCATCATCTGTACTTCTTAGCAAGTTTTCCCGACGTTTCGTCCTCAATCCTAAGGACTTCTTCAGGGAATGAATTCTCAGACCGCGCGTTGGAGATTTATAACCTATGGATGTGGTTAGCCACACCCTAATCTGATACTAATTCATAAACAATCAAAGGTCTGTTTGATGTAGAAAGGAGCAGGTCTAACGACCCTGCTGAGGCTAACGACCCTAACTCATTAGCATGTCACTGACCTTGACCCAAGTTAGGGCGTTGTTTTTAGGATGTCGTCATAGATGCGAGGCAAAACAAACGCCCTAACACTTGGGACAAGGTAAGTGATATGCTAATAAGTTAGGGTCGTTAGCCTCAGCAGGGTCGTTAGACCTGCTTCCTTCTACATCAAACAGACCTTAGATTGTTTATGAGTTAGTATCAGGATTAGGGTGTGGCTAACCACACCCATAGGTTATAAATCTCCAACGCGCGGTCTGAGAATTCATTCCCTGAAGAAGTCCTGTTTGATGTACGGTCTGTTGTTTGTTGTCTGTTTGATGTAAGTCCTGTATGATGTAAGATGTCAGGTCTGTTTGATGTAGAAGGGAGCAGGTCTAACGACCCTGCTGAGGCTAACCACCCTAACTCATTAGCATGTCACTGACCTTGTCCCAAGTTAGGGCGTTGTTTTTAAGATGTCGTCATAGATGCGAGGCAAAACAAACGCCCTAACACTTGGGACAAGGTCAGTGATTTTTTGCCCCACTGTATATGTACAGCACACAGTACAGCGGATGCTCTTGCAGAAGGATTCTGCAAACGCAAACCAGGGGCGTGGGGGAGGGTCAGGGGGATCAAAACACAGCACTGGTGGGTAAATTTACCGGGGATTGAAACAGCCGCAGGTGATGCGGATGACACGGCAGACGTGGGGGACGCAGGTGACGCGGGAGAAGCCGCGGGAAAAGACACATGCTGCCACCTACAACAGCCGAGGCTGTTTCACTAATCCAATTAGTTTGATCCATTGTTGTGTCAAAAATAAACAATGGTACAGGGGCAATCGCCGGTAGCCCTGCATGTGTATTCACTAATGTGGTGAATACGCTATGGGTACCACGCGTGGGCCGTAGGAAGATGTACTCCCATCAGGCCAGCGTAGAGTGATTGGAGCCCTGCCCGAGATTCCCCCAATACCCCCAAGGAGAGCGGGCTCAGGGCAGGAAATGAAGCATGAGCAGTGATACAGGGCCGCTCCTATCAAGGACGCCCGAAGAACACTCACAACCCCATCCAAGGGCAAGGAAAATCACAGAGTTAAGGGCCGCTCCTTAACTCAGCCCTTAACTCTGTGATACAGAGAAATTTCAGAACCTGATGTCCGAGGCTGCGGTAGGGGGAACCCGAGCAGCCTCCCCCCGTCTTGTGAGGGGTGAAGCTTGAGGCGGGAGAACCACCTCTGAAAACATCTCATGTGGAGGAGGCCCAGACGAACCATTGTGTGGGCCGCCGCCAACATCCCCGAAGCGACCTGAGGCTCCGAGCGGGGATTCTGGGAGCAGTCAACGCATCCCTGGCCAGGCGGGTGAAGTTTACTCGCCTGTCCTCGGACAATGCAGCTCGGATTCCCACCGAGTCCAGCTGCATCCCGAGATACATCATATGCTGAGCAGGCTGCAGCCTGCTCTTCTCCCTGTTCACCACAAAGCTCAGGCGCTGTAAATGGGACAGGACCCAGCGCGTGTGACTCTCGGTCACCTCCCTGGACGGGGCCAGAATTAACCAATCGTCAATGTAGGATAAAACCTGACCTCTGCGCGTCTGAGTGGCTCCAAGGCCACCTCCACGCATTTGGAGAAGGTGCGGGAAGCAGCGCACACCTGAATGGGAGATGGCCATACTCGTAGCACTCTCCCCCCCACGGCGAAGCGCAGGAACCGCCTGTGTTCTGGCATCGCTACGTGGAAATAAGCATCCGTCAAATCTATGGAAGACATCCCGTCTCTGGGTCTGACGCACTCCAGTTAAGCTGTTTTGTGGAGAGCATGCGGAACAGACGCTTGGAAATGCACTCGTTTAACGTGTGCAGGTCCAAGATGGGGCGCACTCCCCTTGTCTTCTTGCGGACCAGTGAGTCCGGGGAGTACAGCCCCCTGGAGGCGTCTCACGGGTCCACTTTGAAAGCGGCGCCTCGTCTCAGCAGAGAGGAGACCTCCAGCTGGAGCGCCTCCTCTGACCCACGCCCCAGGGAATGCGCCGCTCGAACGCCTTGGAACGGCGGCGGCCCCGTGCGAACTGCAGGGGAACATCCCTGCGCATTGTCCTCTGCTCCCCCAGACGAGGTAGAAGTCTGTGCGCGGGGACAGGGCTGGGAGCACTTATCCCGAGAGCCCCGCCCCCTCCTGGTGCTCCCAGAGGAGAGGGGGGGTGGCCCGAAGGGCAGAGAGCCCCCGTGTAAGATGCTGCGTGAGACAGAGGGGGTTACCGGCCCCACTGTTTCACTTATATCAGCCCCCCTGACCTTTACCGCTTTACTCCTCTCCGGGAGGAGAAAGCGCCAGTGGCCAAGGTACTCGGGCCAGCGGTCTGGACCAACCGCTGCGGGTCTCTCCTCTGAGCCCGCAAGTCTCCAGGGCCATCAGAGTGGGACTGCACTGAGTGGGCATGCCATCTACCTGTGAGGGCATGCCATGCAGTTACAGAGGAGACTCACACAATCATATAGGGGTTTTCTCTCTTTATCGAAATAACACCTGCCTCCCCGTCCTCGTGTTGAAAGCGTTGCTCCCGAGCGTCTCCGCAGGTCCGCTCCGGACCCCGGGGTCTCGCTGGAGAAGGGTGGGCCGAGGAGCGGAGCATCGTTTGGGAGACCGCTCTCTGACCTGGTCGAAGCCCCTGGACTGCTGCTGACGTTGTCCTCGCCCCAGTCAGATCCTCGCCGCTGAGTGCCGGGCCCGCGGAGAGAGATCTGTCCAGAGTCCCAGTGAGGAAGGTCTTGTTTCCAAGCCAACGCGACCCTCTGAGCCGCGTTGGCATAGCGCGCATCCAGGACGGACATCAACATCCTATCCCGCTCGGAGGGAAGAAGCGGTCTGTTGTCTGGCCACATGGAGGACGTGGGGAGCAGAGCCAGCCTCACCGCGTCCTCGAGGCCCGGGACTCCGCTGGACCAAGATCAGTCTTGGACCGTGCCGTACTGGCCTTACCCCAGGGCGGGCCTCTCGGCCGCCAGTGGTTTGGGCCAGTCACGCGTAGCGTAGTGGAACACCGGGTCCATACGTGGGGACGAGCTTCTTCCTCGATTCTTCAGAGTCGAGTGATCTCTCTCCGCCAGAGTTCAAAGTGGCAGGTGCAGGCCTGAGCGGGGCTATTTATAGGAGGAGCTGGCTCGTGATTGGAGCATTTGGATCTCTGATCTCTCTGGCGGAGGCTGGGTGCCTCTGAGTCTACCCATAGCGTAGCCCTAAGCGGCGTAGCACCATGACATAGAACCTGTACATTCCTTTAGACATAGGTATGCATTAGCATTGGCGCCAGGGACAGCGCAAACAAAGGGCCCAGCTAAAAATAGTTAACCAGATCTTTGCTTATGTTTCTGGACACAAGCAAATTCTTGTGTGTACGGTCAAGCCCTATGTGTAGGTACATAGCACCTAAAGCCCGGATCTAATCGCAAAGTGGGCCCAGGCACACTTTAACAGGGCTTTAGGCTGTGCATGTGACCGCAGCCTTAACCCTTTAAGCGCCAGAGGTTTTTTTCCAAAACGCTCAATTTTGACATCTTAATTTCAAAAGGCTATAACTGTCATGCGGTGAGATGATGTAGGACTCAAAATTGCAGGAATGCCAAAAATAAGGGTTTATTGATAAAAAAAGTCCAGATGAAACCAACTCAAAATCCAAAACCAAAACAGGACCAGGAACAGGACGGAAACAGACAGAGACATGAACAAGACAAGACAGGACGTTGACAAGACAATGGACCAGCACAAGGGGAGAGGAGCGCAGGGTACAAATAGACACAGACACAGGTGAAACACATCAGGGCAGGGCAAACAATCAAGACAGGGGAAACAGGACAGGAAGTCAAGCTAAAACTAATTCACAGATAAGATGTCAAAATAAAACAAAAATACAAAAATAAAATCCACACCATAACAATAACTTAAAAGTGATAAGAGATAAAGGCTTTCTGTAAATTAGAAAAATATTAAGGATGGTCCAAAGTTTATGTAGAGAATAAATCCCCCATCTAATTTGCATATTATGACGTCATTTGGCGTTAGAATTAGTGGATTTTAGAATCTTCATACAATATTTGTATTTTTCTAACTGACAGACATATATTGATCACTAATACATGAACACACACAGAACACACTGTAACATTGTAAATGTTCATGAAAATAGTAAAAAATACAAATCATGGTGCTGCTGTGAGCAGTCTGCCCAGACTCGCGCCTCCAGGTGAAGCGCGTCACCGCGACTCTTCTGCTGCAGATGTCTCCCCCACTCTCTCTCTCATCTCCCCTGATCTCTCTCTCGTCTAACACACACAAGGCAAAGCTTCACCAACACGTGGCTGTCCCGGTGATTACGGGAGGCTTGAAAATAAATATGTGGGAAACACTTTTAGCGGAGGCTGGAGGTCGCGGCGCTGCACCCCGACGCGAGTTCCAGGCTTGTTTTCCGCAAATCTAACCTGTCTCCGAACCTCCCAATGACTGGCCTTACTCTGAGAAACACTGTTCCCACTGCTGACCCTGTGCGAAGTGTCTAAAGTTAGTGTTTGGTGTGTTATAACACTCGCAGGCTGCCCTCGCAGCTGCATTCGCTTCACTATGATTTCCGCACTGGTTCAACGCGGTCTTGCTCGAATATTTTGTATGAGAGCATGATGTTTTTTGGGGCCAGGGAGGTAGTCTGACCTGTCTGCCAACTAGTGGCAGGGAGTATGAAGGAATTTTGACACTCAGTTGGACACACTCGGCCGTTTTAAACAGTACCGCAGCTACTAGAGGGTTAAGAGCTAGGATTCTCTAGGAATAGCTTTTTTTCCTAACTAGGATCTACTCTTCTCTTTTAGTGGAAATTCTAAGAGTACGTCAAGATTCTAAGAATTTTCTTAGAATTTGGCCACTAGGAGCATTTCTTAGCACTAAGAATCTTTAGGAATACGGCCCCAAGTCATTATCTGAAAACTTAAAGTTTGACACCTTGTTTGACACGATTGGTAGTTTTAAACAGTATCGAATCTTGTGTTAACCGTCTGTGCCTAGAGGGTTAACACAGGACAAAGACAGCCCAAGTTGTGCTGTCAGCACAAGGAAACAAGTTGTTCAACACAAGCAAGTTGTGCTGCCAGCACAAGGAAAGGATTAGTTTCCTTGTGCTGGCAGCCAAGTACATTTTTCTGGCCCGACATGTAAAAAGACATTCACCTTAAAAAACAAGTCACCAAACAAGTTCGCTATGACTGGTATCATCAAAACGCAACCGTTTGAACTTGTGTCTATAGATTTCTTTCCTGTTGATACATGTTATGGAGGCTGGAGAAGTTTAAATGGGGTTTAATGGATAATTTTAGTGGGTATACTCAAGCCTGTCACATCGTCAAAATTAGGAAAGACAGTTGCAGACAATTTTTTTTTTAGTAGGTGTGTTAGCGAACTAACATGAGGCCCCCGCTGAAAGATCAAGGCTATGCTCACACTTACAGAGCAGCCCTCCTCCTGTGGACTCACCACCTGCAGAGGATCAGTGAGGGGCTGGTGCTATGTGACTTGTGTGGCATCTCTGATTGCCACCTCCGACCCAGAAATGGATTAAGGGGTAGATAATGGATGGATGGATGGAGTTGCAGACAAAATACTCAATGACTTTGCCCATGCACATCAGAAACGTGCATGTGCCTGTTTACGTACAAGCATTGCCTGTCGGGACACCAATTAAAGGCACCAGGACACCAACTACAGTAGACTGCTGGACAGCCGACTGATTGACAGGCGCTCTTCCATTGGAATCGAGCGCCTGTCTATCAGTCTACTGTCCAGCAGTCTGCTCTGTGTCTGAGCCAAACTCAGTGTCAGCTTGTTCTTATATAAAATAAATTACTTTTACTCCACAGTATGTGTACATTGATTTTGTTACTTATTTAGAACGTTACTACTCGTATAAATTATATTGCTAATAATAATGACAACAAAACAGAAATGCAGGCAGCTACATGACTTCTCTTCATCTGAAAGCCCTGATGCTGCTGCTGGTTCTCCACCTTGTCTCTCGATTAGTTGGCGGCCTGCGTCAAGCTCGAAAAGCTCAGCATTTCTCAACTTTGGCATCAAGGGACCGAAAACGTGCGCTCCAAAACTCCAAAAGCAACGCTTTTGACGCGCGCCAAATGACGCCCGACCTCTCTGCGCCACTTGACGTATGCCACCATTCATTATAAAGGCAAACCTGAAGCCCACAAAGCAGACGCAGAGTGCGGTGTGAACACACCAATAGGCCTATGCTGGGTGGTGCGTTGAAAGGACAAGATTTATCCATCCATTTTCTTCCCCTTAATCCATTTCTGGGTCGGGGGGGTGGCAGTCAGAGCTGCACCCAGTACACAGAGCACCAGCCCCTCACTGATCCTCCTGCAGGTGGTGAGTCCACAGGAGCTGAGATCTTTCAGTGGGGACTTCAGGCAAAGTGGGGTTAAGTGTCTTGCCCAAGGACACAACGACAGCAGTCATCAGTAGGAGTCGTGAAGTAGGTCTTACGGTGGGCTCGAACCCACGACCTTCAGGCCCAAAGGCCAATGCTCTACCAACTGAGCTACTGTCGCCCCTTGTTCTATTTTGTGTACAACTGATCTTTAGATGCGCTACATAAGCCTGACCAATGATTGAGCGATTGGTTTTGCACTGGGAAATTGGTTGGTATTTACACACATTTCGCTCTTGTGTTTCTTCTCCTAATTCCAGGAGTGCAATACGTACGTGTGTGTGTGTTTGTCTGTTAGCAGGACTAAAACCTCTGGACGGATTGACCTGAAATGTTGTCTGTGGATGGCATTCACATTTGTATTGTCCTTCATAATGTAATAAAATACAGAGCAAAACAAAAAAGTTACTTGGAGTCAAAAAATTGGTTCATTTTATTTGGCTTTGAAAAACATCTGTTTTATTACTGTTTTATATCTAACATCTATATTTTAGATAATATCTTGGAACAGAGGACTGAAATCTGGTAAATCCTTAACTGCTCTATCACTGTACCGAATGTCATCCAAATGAGAGATGGTGGTGACAATGATCTATTTGACATGCTGGTGTTTTGGATCAATGAACTGATGAGAGGGTGGCACTTTTAGCTGTAATTATTTTTTTTTTTACTGTAAGCCATAATAACATAAATCAGAAGTTTTACACAATGTTCTAATTATGGTATCTGACTCACACATATCTGAAAGTTTAACCTAAATGATATTTTAGGTTCAGCTGTTTCAATGGTGAATGATCGACACTGTCCAGTGACCAGAGCTGGAACATTTTAACTATTGTACGTGGTTTTAGTGGTAGGAGAACGAAAAAAAAGGGAGAGCGTGCAGTGGAATCTCACCTAGGACCTGGCTGTGAAGCACACCGTGCCACCCATATAAACAAGATTATATTTGTATCCACGCCCTGTGGAAAGTGTTACAGTTTGTTAATATGACAAATACTCTGCGTGTTTTACTTGTGTTTCTACCCACTATGACATCAATCTCAGAGCAGTTTTCTAACCCAACATAAATGAGTGTTGCTAGTTTCTCATGTGAACTGACTTTCTTTACAAATGCATGACTGTGCAGTAGGGATGTATATCTCCACCACTGAGGCCGATTCGATACACATCTCGATACACTACCAGCGATTCGATACATTAACGATACACTGATACATTTCTCATGTGGGAGATTAATAAAGTATATCTTATTATCATAGCATCAGTTAAGGCCTGGGAGCAGGCAGAGCTGCTTGAGGCGTGTTTTGACCAAAGAAGTTTGTGATAGACCTACTGCTCGCGTCGCCAACTTTCGGTATAATCCAAAGGAGAGAAAGGGGCAGCAGCCGCGGAGGTATCCACGCCGTGCCGTCTTCTCAGATGCGTTGCCAGGTTCGTTGTGCTGCCCACGTATTTGATAGGCGCCGCCCGGCATTTCCGCACGCTTGACTTGTTTTTTGGGGGCCATTAAAAATCTCCTTGCCATTTATATTGTGAGCGTTCATGCTTGTTTTGGACCCGAAGCTTACGTCAGAGCCCGAGGAAGCGATGGTGCATTCAGGTTTACTCGGAAATAAGTCAGGGCAGCAAATAGAACAATCGATTTAACCATGGAATCTACCGATGCAGACAGGCTGGAAGAGGTGCACCGCCAATTCACACCTAAATTATATCCAATGCGCCATGAATGTATCCGTGTAGTTGCATCGCAGACGTTTGTATCGGACCAGCGATGCGAATCTGTGAATCTTCACATCCCTACTGTGCAGTTGGTAATTTTTTTATAAAAAAAGAAAACACCTCTCTCTGGTGGTCGCTTCATACTTGTTTCACCATGTATATAAGACATGGAATTACAAAGTTAAAAGGTATCAATATAGTTTTTAATGGCCAAAGAACAGGAAGGAACACAAGGAACATTGTTTCTTCTTTAATTGTATCCTTATAACTATAGTGTCCGATTCAAAACATGTGCAAGTATAAATAATTTGGTTAGCTCCAATTTAAAGCTGAGTTAATTACCTGCATTTCTCCTATTGGAAAAACAACGTTAACTTTACTCTGCTTCAGTGGTGATGGGTGATTCAGTGGTGAGTTGAACAGTGGGTTATTCACCATTTACACATGTCATTAAATAATTGCCATATCAGCAGAGTTGGTTTCCATGGCTCCTCCTCTTTTCTCCTGTGGGTGTGTTTTGTGGATAATACAAAGCACAGACTGCATTCTCTGTCGCACATTCTGCACTTCCTTCATTATCAAAGACAGAGTCAAAGCCTCTGAGGTTTCTAAGATGGGTGAGTACTGCTGTTATGAAAGCTCTTTTTAACTTGCTCACTAAATTACATGTAATCATGTATTTCTGAAAATTATGAACTAATACATGTAAGTACATTTATTCCAGTCAGTAGTTTTTATGTTGTTATTACAGATTCTTGGGTTTAATTTAGAAAGTATATTAATGTATTACTAGGGCTGGGACTCGATTAAAAAAAAAAATCTAATTGATTAGAGGCTTTGTGATTATCGTTTTATTATTTGTGATAATTAATTGCATTTTAATCACATGTAAATATTTGTCCTGAGAACAGTGAGAAGTAATTTTTTTCATATGGATTTTTAGTTTACCATTGAATAATGATTCATAAGCTTAAACAACACACGTTCTTCGATTTCTGTCATCGCCTCCACACACTCTGTCCACAACATAAACTTTGTAACCAAAATCCACTGCACTCAACGTGAAGTAAAGCTTATAATACGTTTGTGCATTCTAACTTGCTGCTCCTCCTCCTTCTCTGAGAAGTCGCTTGCTGCTCCTCCTCCTCCTTCTCTGAGGAGTCGCTTGCTGCTGCTCCTCCTCCTTCTCTGAGGAGTCGCTTGCTGCTGCTCCTCCTCCTTCTCTGAGGAGTCGCTTGCTGCTGCTCCTCCTCCTTCTCTGAGGAGTCTCTTGCTGCTGCTCCTCCTCCTTCTCTGAGGAGTCGCTTGCTGCTCCTTCTCCTTCTCTGAGGAGTCGCTTGCTGCTCCTTCTCCTTCTCTGAGGAGTCGCTTGCTGCTGCTCCTCCTCCTTCTCTGAGGAGTCGCTTGCTGCTGCTCCTCCTCCTTCTCTGAGGAGTCTCTTGCTGCTGCTCCTCCTCCTTCTCTGAGGAGTCGCTTGCTGCTGCTCCTCCTCCTTCTCTGAGGAGTCGCTTGCTGCTGCTCCTCCTCACACACCATAGCTCCATACACAGCGCTCTTTCCCGTCTCTAACCATGGATCTAATTCACTCAGATTTAGACACCGCTAAAGTTGGTCTATGCTTGTTATTAGGGGTGGGCGATATGGATTGCGGTATAATTTGGTGTGAATTTAAATATAGGTCTAGCAGGTTCTTGAATGAAATAGTCAAGATTGTTACTTATTTAAATGTATTGTGCAAAACTGCAATTAGAAAATGTATTTAACATTTCTTTCTGTTGCCTTGGTTACTACAACCATATACTACACAAAAATACTGCATTGTATCTATGAAAGAAAGCAAAGTAATGACTGCGGACTGTCAGTTATCTCTGTGGTCGCAGATGCTACGCAAGCTAATGCTAGCGCATTTCTCCCGTTCCTTATTAGGCATTTTCCTAAAAATTGACACCCGTTAGAGAAATATTTTTTAGCAAAGTAGAGACTTCATAAGTTTCCCACTTGAAATGAGCAGTTGCCACAACTGTACACGCCACAGAAAAAGAGCATTTCCCCGCTAAGAACAGTGGGCCTCATTCACGAATAACTTCGTAAGAAACTACTCAACTTTCTTCTCAAGTTGTCCTTAAGTAGATTTCTAAGAAGTCCCCACGTGGGATTCATCAACGCGCTCTTAAGCCGCTGAATTGTTCGCAGCTGTTCTCTTAGATTGATGAATCCCATTTCCTCGTAAGTACAGCGCGCGTGCCAGGTGCTTCATTAGCATAGTTACTTAGCATAAGTAACCGCCCACTAATGCCCATATAAGGGACTGCAGGGCCGTGTGCAGACGGCAGAGGAAACAGCAACAGGCCTAAAGCAACGAGTTACACTTCTTTTACCAGACTGAGAATAAAGTAATAAAATGTTGACTTAAAAGTCGAAATATTATGATAATAAAGTCGAACTAGCAAAATTATGAGATTAATCTAAGAATATGATGAGATTAATCTCAAAATGTTATGAGCTTAATTTAAAAATATATTATGTATTATTTTAAAGATGAATCTCAAAATGTTTTGAGATTAATCTCAAAATATTTTGGACCCTGGGAGGAGATCCAGCGCGGACCAGCGCTGAGACCAATGCAGACCCGAGGAGAGACTGGAGTGACCAGCACACAGAAACCAGCGCGGACCTATAGGAGAGACCGCATAGACTGGAGTGACCTGACTGGAGAGACCGGTGCGCAGAGACCAGCGCGGACCGAAGATAGACCGCATAGACCAGACTTGAGAGACCAGCGCGGACCCGTATGGATCCAGGAGCATGCAGCACGGACCCGTATGGAGAGAGACCAGTGCAGACCCGTATATGGGAGAGACCAGTGCAGACCCGTCTAGATCCATGGGAGAGACCAGTGCAGACCAGTATAGATCCATGAGAGAGACCAGTGCAGACCCGTATATGGGAGAGACCAGTGCAGACCCGTATAGATCCATGGGAGAGACCAGTGCAGACCAGTATAGATCCATGAGAGAGACCAGTGCAGACCCGTATATGGGAGAGACCAGTGCAGACCCGTATAGATCCATGGGAGAGACCAGCGCAGACCCGTATAGATCCATAGGAGAGACCAGTGCAGACCCGTATAGATCCATGGGAGAGACCAGTGCAGACCCGTATAGATCCATGGGAGAGACCAGCGCAGAGACTCAGCGCGGACCCAGTAACCTCCTGCAGCAGCAGTATATATGCCGTTGTTCTGTGGCCCGTGGATAAAGAAATGCCCCCTATAAATAGGAAGGGGTCACTAATACACGGCAAGATTTCCAATGTATTTGATAAAGCGTTGGCACATTTCATTTCAAAATGAATTAAAAAGTAGGCCAGATCTGCAGTGAAAAAGGCGGTATATAAATAAAGATTACTAATAAAGATTACTACAAATAAATAAATACATACATTGATATGACGGACATATCACTGGAATGTTGTATTTTTATTAAACTTCACCAAAGAGGACAACCCCGGCGTGTGAACATGTCGGCACTGAATGCGTACGAGTGCTCCTGAGGACTCGTAGGATTTGTACTAGCCCAAGAGAAATTCTGGTTACGAGAAATATTCGTGAATGCCACTTTCTTCGTAAAAACCGCGTAAGTAGGATTTACGTACAAATCTGTTCCTAAGAACCGTTCGTGAATGAGGCCCATTGTTCTTAGCGGGGAAATGTACTTCCTGTCCCTCGGAGCACTTTCGTCTCGTGCAACCCAGCAGTTTGATTACATAATGACCTATCGCAATAAGCCGGTATAACAAAGATCTCTACCGTTGGCCAAATTGATATCGCTTATACCGTTTATATTGCCCGGCCCTACTTGTTATGATGTACTTTTGAACAAGAAAAATCACGGAGCTCAGTTGGCGCTCCAGTATAATCGGTCCGTCTGAAAGTCATCCTCCAGTGAGGAAGGTTCCGCGGTGGAAAAAACACATGCGATTAAAATGCGTCCATTTTTTTTAACGCACTAATTTTGTGGTGTTAATTAATCGTAATTAACGCGTTTAAGTCCCGGCCCTAGTTATTACATGATTGAAGTATCATTAGTAACAAATTCAAGTACATATTATATACATTTATAGCTTGATCTATTATTGTATTAGTAACGACTGATACCAACTGTACATTGCACTCACTCATGGAACTGTAGTTAATAGGTAACTGTTACTTTATATGTAAGTAATAATCAAGAAGACAATATATACACTCACTGGCCGCTTTATTATTATATTAATTCCTAATCAGCCAACATGACAGAATACCAATGCATTCAGGTATGTAGACATGGTCAAAATCATCAGACAGGTTTGAGTATTTCCAAGACTGATGATCTACTGAGATTTTCACACACAAATCTCAAGGGTTTACAGAGAATGGTCCGAAAAAGAAAAAATATCCAGTGAGCTGCAGTTCTGCGGGCAAAAAATGCCTTGTTGAGGCCCGAGGTCAGAGGTGAATGGCCAGACTGGTTCGAGCTGATAGAAAGGCAACAGTAACTCAAATAACCAGTTACAGTCAAGGTATCCAGAAGAGCATCTCTGAATATGAATATATCTATATGCCACATTTTACAAATATCGCTTACCCAAATATAATTGTAAAGTTACTCAGCAACATTTTAGTTGGGATAGATTGTTGGCATTACCCTGCTAAAATGTATTAGCTAGTGGGCTAAGAAATGGTCTATGCATGTAGCTGTTGATGCACATCCAATGCTGGACAGTAGTGATGACAGATCAATCTCGTAACACATAGTGGCTGTCCTGTTTCAAATGTTTCGAAGCCTCTGAACTAGCTCAGATTAGCTTGTAGCGCTGACATCTAGCAGGAAAATGTAATCATTGCAGCTTCTGAATAGCAATTGTTGATATTGTGGTTTCATATTCACATCCTTTCATCTTTGGACATAACATAGAATGGCTCTCTATTATTCGACTGCAGCAGAACATGGGTATATTGCTGCTGTTAATCTACAGTATGTTTTTAACAAAGCCTTTAATGACAACGGCACGTTGAGAAAAAAATATTTAATTAAAGTATTGACGCCTTACTTACTTGCAAGTTTTGCATCAGACGGAAAGTTCTTCTCTGCCTTCAATTGTCTCAAAAGCAAAGGCATCTCCAATAGAAATCCTTTTTTTACTCCTTGTTTTCTCATTAAAGAAGTATTCGAAGAGACCATGATTTATTAATGCCGTGTGACATATTAGGGCCATTTAAAGATGATTTGACATGCCAATCTTACACATAGCTAATTTAAGATTCAAAGAGACAAAAAAACTAAAAACAAATCTGTTTTTGAGCAGAAACAAATAAACTGCCTTATATAAGATGTATATATGAAGGCTAAACTGGCTGTACGTTAATACACTTTTGAATGCGCCGGAAACAAGTCCATGGTTCACGGACCGAACCAAGCAGATCAAGCAGAGATCCACTCAAAAAATGCTAACAAAGCAGTCAGCATTTCACTCTGGACTAGAGTAGAGAAAATTATCCAAACCAAGCGGCTACACCGCCTCTGCTGCTGTGATAAATAGATTATAGTGAATAGAAAAATAAATAGATAATAGATTTATCTATTTATTTGTTTTGTTTGTATGGATGGATGTGTTTCTGCTGCTACTGGACACAAGAAATCCTACGGGGATCAATAAAGTATCTATCTATCCATGGGTTGGTGTAAACAAGGACCGCTGATCGTCTCTTGCGGCTGTACTTTGTTACGATATGTTATTAATTATCCTCCCCCCAATCCAGGGAATGCAAGCAGCTCTTCACAAGTAAATGTAAGTACTGGAATTCCTGAAGTATATTTTCAGTAGTAATAATTAGTAATGTATTAATTACATTACTCTTGCAGTTTCAGTCCAACAAAGCCCGAGGTGAGTTGCACCTGTGATGCAAAGAGCCAAGGTTCATGATTCATAATTATTGTGTTAATAATGTGTTGTGTTGTACAATCTGAAGTATATATTTCAGTGAAGTATTGTTGGAAGGTTTCATTGATTTCTTTTTTGTGATCATTTTTTTTTCTATTCAAGTGTTACATTGTATTTACATTTTTGCACTAGTTGGCAAGCGTCACACTTTACTTTTTGTCCCCTTTTCCCTTGTGATAGGCAGAGAAGCTCAACAACAATAATAATAATAATAAAATAACAAATAAATAAAAAAGGTTTAAGACATCTAAACAGAACAAGTAATAAAATATAGATAAATACATAAATATAATACATAACAATAGCCATATTGTTGATATACAAAAACTGTTCAAGCAATGCACTAATATTTACAGTTGTAATACCTCACTGTTGTGATGACTTTCATTTCGGGTGGTACTGCATTGGGTTGGAGGAGTGCATCTCTAATGGTATCAACCACAAACATGATTCCTGCACAATCCAATCTGTTGCGTTTCACCAACTCACTGTCATCCAGTCTTTGTAGAATATCTCTCCTGCCTCTTCCGTCCATCATTTTGTCCTCTTAGAACTTTGAAGTCGCTAAAGGTCCTTAAGAGAGCTCCTAAGGTGCGATCTCTTAAGAGCTAGGATTTTGCTAACTAGGATGTGCTTTTCACTTTTATAGTAAATTCTAAGAGAATATCAAGATTCTAAGGTTATTCTCAGAATTTGACCACTAGAAGCAACTCGTAGCACTAAGAATAATACGATCCCAGGAGTCACTCAAGGGGCAGCTGGCGGCTCGCCAAGCTGTTGAAGCCGGCCTGCGACATTTTGTTTTTTTACTTTATTAATATTATCTCCCTGTCACTCTCCTGTTTTCCAAAATGTTTGGGATTTTTTAATAATAATTAATGACTCTTCTACCTCCCGAACAAAATATGTTCCAGCTTCTTCCCTTTGGCATCGTCCGCTGAGATGCAGGACATCTCGCTTTGCTAACAGCTTTCCATAAGCTGTTATCAATTTAAACTGAGCACTTTAATGATCTTGAACGGTATTGAAACTGTTTAAGTCGATCGATTTTAGTGTCAATTGTTTCCTGTTTTATTTATTTACTTGTCCTGTGTACACTGGGGACTTTTGCACATGTTTCCAATGTGGTTTTACTCCACCCATCCATTTCCTTCCCCTTAATCCATTTCTGGGTCGATGAACCCTGGTTTAGGCTATAAAAACCATAAAGAAAATAATTATTCATTAATACACAATCCATGGGTTGGTGTAAACAAGGACCGCTGATCGTCTCTTGTGGCTGTACTTTGTTACGATATGTTATTAATTATCCTCCCCCCATTCCAGGGAAGGAAAGCAGCTCTTCACAAGTAAATGTAAGTACTGGAATTCCTGAACTATATTTTCAGTAGTAATAATTAGTAATGTATTAATTACATTACTCTTGCAGTTGCAGTCCAACAAAGCCCGAGGTGAGTTGAGCCTGTGATGCAAAGTGCCAAGGTTCATGATTCATAATTATTGTGTTAATAATGTGTTATATCATTCTTCTTCAGTGCAGAAGCTAGTGAAGGTGTTCTCCATCATCTCAGCTCGGTCATATGGAGCTGACCGGCAGATCTTGGACCAGCTGACCGCTCAGGGCATCACACCTACAGATGATCCACACCAGAGCGATGTCATTCTGCTGTTTTGTCCAATCCTGACACGAACCGCATCTGACCTTGATGCAGCCGTCAGAAATATTCCAGGTTTGCTTTTCACACTAACACAAATCAAGTTTCGAGGATTTCCTTCTGAGACAAAGTAACTACATGAACACAAAAGACAGTGGCTCAATCATTCAGACATGTGCATTTAAACTTTGAATGCAATGTTTGAAATCAGAAAATCAGCATTGCATGTTTCCCTCTTTCATTTTCTATTACCCATTTTACATTTCCTATGAATTTCACCATCACTTCCCCCCTACCGGCTCCAGGTAACCCTTGTGTGTACTATCTAAAATTGATAAAGAGCATCCAGTGAATTAATTTGTAGCTTGATTAAATTTGGGATAAAATTTGAAGGATCCCTTGCGTCCCTCTTGCTCAGCCTCTCCATTTATCTTCTTCTGCTTTGGTCCCCAAACCGGACGCCCTATTGTCCTTGGCAGTGCCTAGAAATTCTGTTCATGAAAAAAGTGCACAGAACTGGTGACAAAGGGCAGCCTTGGCTGAGGCCAACATGCACTTGCAACAGGTTTGACTTTCTGCCGGCGATGCAAACGCAGATCTGACTCCGGCCATACAGAGACCGTACAGCCCTCAGCAGAGGACCCCTACTCCCCGGACAACCCCCCCAAAGAACACAGTTAAATGTCTTGTCTACAAATCCACAAAGCACATGTGGACAGGTTGGACAAAATCCCATGATGCCTTGAGTCCAGTGTCTGGGACAAAAACCACACTGTTCCTCCTGAATCCGAGATTCGACGATCAGTCAGAGTCTCCTCTCCAGTACCTTGGAGTATACCTGACCGGCTGAGGAGTGTGGTCCCATAACATTTGGACCTCACCCTCCAGTCCCCCTTCTTGAAGACAGTGACCACCGCTCCGGTCTGCCTCTCCATTGGCACTAACCCTGATACAGCCGCTATGTAATGTAATTTTCTCCTCATAGATGATACTCAGCCAGGTGAAGAATATACTGTAGTAAGTAATTGGGGTGAAAAACCATTCAAACAATTCATTCATTTAGGCTTATCTCATGTAGATCACTGTTTTGAATTGTGTTTAGCTACTCTTAACTATGCATGTTCAGGTTCAAATATAAAAACATGTCAACATTTTCTAGGGAGCAATTTTATGTCGGTTTGCTTCGAAAAAAGCTTTTTATCAGTTGAACGCAAATTACTCACAAGTGAGACTTTTGTGCATGCCTTCAGGTGAAAACATTTTCCCAAGGCGGCACGATAACAATATTAATCTGAAACCACAGAAAACATTACATGATCCATGATTTTATAGTAGTCTGTCTCAATATATATATTATCATGTGTTCACAGATGGAGCAAAAGACAAACCTGTGGTGTTGGTTCTGATGCATCACACTTTTGACCCAAACGAAGTCCTGGACAGAACCCGCTGGAGCAAACAGCATCCCTGTTTAAAGGAGGAAGTGCGTGTGCTTTTCCATCGGAATGGACTTCTGCAGTGCGACAGGAACAAGGAGGCGGTCCGTACCCTCAAGACCCTCTGTGACCAGTATGCAACACCAGGTAAAAAACACTTTTTGTTAAAGATCAACCATGAAACACTAGAAAAACCGGTAACACTTTATAATACTGTTTGCTTTTAAATCATTTCTAAATCATTGGCTACTAGTTAATAAAACATGAACGTATGTCTTATTTATATTAAAAAATAATCATCTAAACATTAACAACTCATTAACAAGTGTTATTTGTTACTGTTCTGGAAACCATTACTTACTAAAGAACAAATAATCTTGTAATCATTAAGACATGTTTTATTTAAGTGTTTATAATCATTCATAAATGATTCAAACATGATTTACTAATGTGGCTAATCTGTTCCGGATGCCTCTTGGACGCCTCCCTGGGGAGGTGTTCCGGGCACGTCCCACCAGGAGGAGGCCCCTGGGAAGACCCAGGACACGCTGGAGAGACTATGTCTCTCAGCTGGCCTGGGAACACCTTGGGGTCTCCCCGGACGAGCTGGAGGAAGTGTGTGAGGATAGGGAAGTCTGGGCGTCTCTGCTTAGACTGCTGCCCCCGCGACCCGGCAACGGATGAAGCGGAAGAAAATGGATGGATGGATGGATGATTTACTAATTGTTATTAGTTCATTATCAAATGTTGATTATTCACATGTAAACATTATTATAACCATGTGCTACTCATGAGCTAATTATTAACAACTCATTTACAAATATATAATAAATACCTAATGATTGTTTAATCATTAAGAATGTTGAAATTCACATATAATACTCATTACCTAAGTGTTTCCAGCTAATGAACAATGATTAGGTGATATGTTAAATATTCATCAACATCAAAACAAAAGTATACTACTCATGATCTACATAGTATCAACTCATTTACTAAGTATTAATATCATGAACTACTCAGAAACAGAAAATATACGACAAATTTTTCAATTTTTTATTGACATTTATTATAAATCATGACATTATATAATAATTTACTAATGATTAGTACAATAATACATGGAAATGGAATGCTCATATTAACAAATCATTTACTTCACTAAATGGATACACCATCACCTAACAACCTTTTAATTAATGTAGGGTAGGAAAAATGGATGTGGAGCCTCATTAAGAATATTTTGTCTCCTGGAGATGCGTTTGGTATGCGGTCAGTGTAGAAGTCATTGTCACGGAGGTATGCTCGGGTGTCCGTAGGCATGCCAGGCCGGGGGTCAAAGCGGTTTATGTGTCTGGCTATGCGGTCAAAGTCACGGTCGGATGGGCCGGGCAGGTCCCGACCGATGGGCCGGGATAGGCGTGTTATGGGTGTTGCGTCCTCTATAGTCCGGGTAGTTACGTTGGCATAGGGCTAAGTCTTGGCGTGCGCCAGGGGGTTGCCATCCATGTTCAGGTTGGGCCCTCTCGTCCCAATGGCGGTCGTCTGAACTGTGTCTCGTATGGACGGCAGGTGGTCCAGAGTCATAGGTTGGGTAGTCATGTTGTCTGTTTAGCATGTCCATGTGTGTGCCAGGAGGGGTGCCGTGGGGTTTCCTACCATGGTTGTGGTGGTCCCCACTGTCCCATTGGCGGGTTGTTGCCCATTGTTTGGCGTGGTCCGTGGTCAGCCCGGTTCTATGGTTCTGGTAGCCATGTGTTTCGTTTTTTATGTCTCGATGTGCTACGGCGGGTCTGGCATAGGGTTGTCTCTCGTAGACGGAGAGGTCCCTGAGGTCCCGCGAGCGGTCTGTCATGTGGTGTCTAGCTTGGTTCGTAGGTGGGTCGGCTGGAGTTGGGTGCGGTCTCGTTGTTTGGTCGGAGCTGCGGACAATTTGGTTGGGGCCGTCGTCGACGGACCGGTGGGGGCTGCTTCGGTTTGCATCGTTGGGTTCGTTATTACCCCTTTGTCCTTGAGCGTGGTCTTTATTTGTGAGGATACTTACCAGTTCGGCCACGCTCCTGCGGTCCCTATCGGACGATGGGCCGCCGTAGTCGGAGGGAGGGGACTGTGCCCGGGAGACGTTTTACCGACTGGTTACGGCCGTCATAGCGGCCCTGATTCTCGATGCGGGGTCAAGATCCATGGCCGCGCTCGGAGTAACGTCCAGTCCCTACTTGGGGTGGTCTCTACTTACCTCTTGGCATTTTTAACGAACTTAACAGCTAGGTACGCGTCTCCAACGCGACCTCTGGGCTTGTAACAACGTTGGGCCCCTATCTCCACAAGGACAGCTAGCAATACCCGCTGTCGGAGACGACGAACTCTCATCAACCAGCCACTTTCCGGCTTCTGGACGGGACGCCTCCACATGCGGCGCTTCTCCTAGGCAGCGTACGTGTGTGTGGGGATTTAAAGTTTGGATTCGAGCTGCTGGCCTTCGTCTCTCCTGCTCGAACAAAGGAACACGTGGACTTCCCCCCCCCCTCTTTTCTTCATTCTTCGATTCTTCAATACGGACTACGTCAAAGCAAGACTGTTCTAATTGCCACGTTAATGTGTGATTCACGTGATATGTTTAACATCTCTGCTTAATGTGACCAAACACCTCCTCGTTGATATTTTTCTATTTTCGTATGTAGTCAATAAACCCACGATAAACTTAGTCATCGTCAAGTGTCCTTTTTATAAATCTTTGATATCCCTGGCTGATTTCGAACTCAAGATCTATCAGATTGTGAGACTGATCGAGGCAGATTAGTATTGGATCTGTTGTAGATGTTTTCAAATTCTACTGGTGCCCTTAAATATAAATTCAGATCCCTCTTTGTGGAACGGCGAGACTCTGACCTGGAGACTAGCCGCTCCACATCAATTTTTCCTACCCTACATTAACAACCAAATTAAAACTCACATACTGCAATACTATCTCACTATCAGACTTACCTTTACTCAGCCTATCCCTGAATAAACACAACTGCTAAAGAAAAATACAGTAATTGCAACTACTCTGACAGCCTGGTGAAAAGCCCTATAACTCTTCCACCGCACTCCACTTAGCATAAACCTAACTTTCTTATTAATGGGCTCTACGCACGCACCACTTCCACGTTTTAGCTACAACCCCACTTCACTTCCTGTGCGCGGGGAACGGCTTGAGTTTCACTGGAGTTCAGCAGTGGTTTACACGAGTTTCCCAAATAATGATCAAACAGGAATTAAACTGTGAAGATACTGGGCATTTTTGGGACACAGCAGTGCTCTTTGATTGTGCCGTCATTGTGTTTTTATAAAGTTAACTAATATCTCTGAGTGGCCACAGTCACAGCTCTACCTCAGAGAGAAAGCACAGCGACACTTTTGGGTCAGTCTCAGCTGAATGTATCAATCTAATTACTAAAAAACGTCACTAAAACCCACCTAAAAGCCATAGGCTAGCATAGGCAGGAAGAGAACGGGCTGATCTTTGTTAACAGGAAAAGTTTCTCCTCCGATCACAGAACGAGGAGCGGCGCTGTCTCGAACGAGCTGTCTCCTCTGGCGTTTACAGTGGATGTGAACACAGTAGCATATTTACGGCTTTTTAGGTTCTTCTAATAAGACAAAGCAAAAAAAGCTAGTACTGCTTAAATACCTGACATGTTTGGGCGGTACACTTCCGCCTTCATCAGAGGTGACACGTGATGGTGTGACGCGTCTCTTATCAGCTGTTGGTGCCGGAAGCAGTCAGTCTGACAGATCTCACAGATCCATCAGACTGACCACATCCCCCGCCACGCTGTGGTCTCTGGAGAAGTGAATCCCAAGTGTGAGCCAAGGTGAAGGCCCCCTCGTCTCTGTTGATGGTCCGTGTTCCCCGCTTCCTGATTTCGATCGCCTCTCGTATCCATCTTTTGTATTCATGTTCTTCTGTTCCTACTATTTTTGCATTGTCCCAGTCCATGATGTGATTCTCTGGGATTCACTTCTCCAGAGACCACAGCGCGGCGGGGGATGTGGTCAGTCTGATGGATCTGTGAGATCTGTCAGACTGACTGCTTCCGGCAACAACAGCTGATAAGAGACGCGTCACACCATCACGTGTCACCTCTGATGAAGGCGGAAGTGTACCGCCGAAACATGTCAGGTATTTAAGCAGTACTAGCTTTTTTTGCTTTAATTGTCTTATTAGAAGAACCTAAAAAGCCGTAAACATAAGAAGACAGAATTAATTTTCCACATTTAATACAGTAGCATATTAGCAGAAAGTGGCTATACCTCTGGCTGTAACTGCATCCACAGCCAAACAGCCCAAACAATCCAACAGTGAGGAAGAGAAGAGGGAACTAAAGCGAAAAAATTATCGAAGAAGAAGTCAAGCCCAAGTGAACATAGCTAGCTTACGTCGTATCCTTGGGAGAGACCTGCGAGTGCGGGCCGTCTTGGACTACATTTGGACGCGAAACTTGCGGTAAAGAAAAAAAGACCTGTCTACTTTCCCGGCCTTAAAAGTATAAGTGCGCAACAGCGCCCCCGGCTTGAAAGGTAGAAACACGGGACTGCGTTCCCGGCCTCAATGAGTAATGTGCGGACCTCTTTAACGCTGACTCCGAAAAGCTGGACCTCAGCGGTGGCCACACGGAGGACATAAACTGTGGCTGACTGTGGACTATTATGACACAGACTCCTGTCACTAATAATGGCTGTGTCTGCTTCACTGGACACCTGCGTGTCTTCCTCCACATGTAGCGCTGAACCGGGACGCTGGGCTAATACACTTAGCTCTCCGTCATAACACTGGGCAAGCAGGATGACTAGACCCTTCGAAACCTGTCCAAACGCCTTGGTGCGTCTGTGAAAGTTGCCATGAGATGGAAACAAACATGCTGTCCTCAGCAGACCCCATGGTGCATGTCTATGGTGCATTTCCAACGCTTACATTTTATCTCCAGGGGTCCTGCAGTTCTGAAATATCTTTGTAGTTGTACCATTTCAAAAGAAAACATCTTACATTCACCCCATTCAATTTGTTCTGTTTTATAATAGGTAGTCTCTAAGAAACTGTATTATGTAAAAGTAAACTTGAAGTTATGCCCAGAAAAATATAAACAATGTGATTCTTTTCTAAGACAAACAGTGACATGTGATGGAAGCAACTTTAACACTTGTTGCTCATGTGAATAACACTGTTCAGATGGATGTTGTCATTATCCTCATCCTTATCCATAACTGCTACCAGCACACATTGTCAGATATATCCAATCCAACAACATCTTGTCTAGCTCTTCAAAATAAATCAAAAGCAGCCACACACTTCAGGGGCCAAGGTTGTAGGAACTGGAGTCTTGCTCTGGCAGAGATTGTCCTTTGAAACACAATAGAGCAGACATCAGTTTTATCTAAACAAATATAACTTTGATGTATCATCATCAATAAAATCAGTCTTTATAAATCACCAGGTAGTCACCTGGATTCACAGGATCCTTGTACAAAAGTTTTTGGACTGTGCTTTGTGAGAGCAAGACTTACTTATTCTCAATACATAGTATTAAGAAGAATGTATTTGGTGGTCATACAAATCAGAATAGAGCAGCTGTTAGATTCGTAGTAGAGAGATATCGTTTTTATTTATAAAAATAAATTACAATTCATACAGTGACGGTTACAATACCAACTTAGTCATTGGAGAATGGAATCCACACCTAGATACATAGTGCAAGCAACTATCTTACCAGCAAACATAGATTGCATTGTTATATATGTTTGAGCATTGCCTCCAGACAAGTAGCCAATTCACCAGGTAACAACCATATGGCAACAACCATATGGTAACAACCATATGCACACAGACCTTTCCAATTGATGAACAGCTTCCTCTAGCTGCTGAATATGTGCAAAATCCCCGTCATCATCCCTGGTGAAAAAAAACATTTTCAATTCAATATTCTGACGGATCAGAAGTTACCGTAGCAGCAACATATTCACAAGAAACTACAGACAGCTAACGCTAACAGCTTACGCTACTTCACAGGGCTCTCCATGATGATGGGGGACGCTTTCCATGTGGCTTGAGGGGCGTCGATAGCTTGGTCTTAACATATCGTACTCATTTCGTACATGTTGGGAATTAATAATTGACTGGAAATTACGGATGGCTAAGGCTTCGATGTTGTGTTGTCTTTCACATAGCTAACGCTAGATAATGCAGTTATTGCCACAAAATGGAGAATATTTCTACAACAGTTGGGGATTTTTAACGAACTAGCTTGATGAAAAACTACATTACAGTCCGTCTCAGGTGAAAATCTGTATAATTACTACTACTACTGCCACTATTGAGTAAAAGGATGCTTACCTGTTCAGTTGGAGAAAGACGAGTCGGTTTATACATCATGATTTCT